CTCTGGTATAAATTTCTCCTTTGGTTTTAGATGTTTTTCAAACATCTAAATAAAATTAAATTATTTTCTGATAGAAGTGTGTCTATGCATAGTCCTCCTCAACATGGGACTAGAATGCAGCACTGGGATGCTGACAGGGATTTATTCCTCGGTAGGCAAATTTTGTATTTTGTATGTGGCTGGTTGGCTGGCTTCTATTTTATGAAAGAAACACATGTTAATTTAAGGATTGTAGTGAAGTTGTAGCTGTATTGGTGGGGCTATCTCTAATTTGTAGCTATGTGTATCCCTGGCTTAGTGCTATGAAGGTGCCATCACTCATAAAGGAGAGCTGTTCTAAGTATATAATGTGTATTTGAAAAGCTTGAACCATTGACCATTACTTCAGTGCTAAAAGCACAAAAAGGGTTTAACACACATAATAATGTCACTGGCCCAGAATTAGGGGACATTAATCTCTGGAAGAGTCTACAAGGTACATGGCTCTTTTTCCTATGACTTTGGTGAAAAATGCAGAACAGTGAAATAGTTCCAGCAGAAATGACTCTGAGTCTTCATTTTACTTTAGAATGAAGGCTGAATTACCTCCTTTGGTCAGGCAGAAGATGCTACCCTGCTCCAGACATATGGCCTGGAACAGCTCCCTGGGAGCAGAGCTGCTGCCAGGCACAAAGACATTTTGTCCCAAACACTCCTTATGCCAAGGAAAGGGGGAGTTTGGTAACAAATATTGTGCCAGTGCCATGACTTTATACAAAGAAAGATCTTTATCAGTGTTTTGGTGCAAATGTGACAAAGGCAGGAAGAAGGTGTGGACTTGGAAAAAAGTAGCCACAGTCAGCAGCTGCTGCTGCAAGACCTTGACCACTGCCTAAGGGCTCCCTGGACTGTGGTTACCTGACCCAGAGCCCTCAGTACAAAGTGCTCAAGAATTCCCAGGAAAGATCTGTGAGAGGAGACACAGAGCATTAACAAGAAAAGAAAGATCTTTGGTTTTTCTGGTTTGCTCTCGAAAATGAAAAATTCTATGTTTGACAGGAAACAGCCTATTGAGTGTCTCCCCAACACGTGGAACATCCTGGTGTATATTTAAGCCATTCCTAGAGTGTTCAATAAAAAGAAAGGTCAGATCCCAGCTGTAACCAGATGGATGGTTGACATGAAAAGGAGAAAACCCTGCAAGGTCTCCAAAATCAAATCTCCCACTGGTCTCAGGAACAGAAGATTTCTATATCTGACTTCCCTCAAATAAGTTCCACAATATGCTTGCATAAATCAAAGAGCTGTGTATACACCATGCTGCTCCCCTTCACTATTTATATTCCCTTGGAATGAAAAATAGCTCACCACCTGCCTCATTTCTATCATAATGTAACAGGTCACAGAGTTAACACCCTTCTGAAATGAATGGCAGAATTCAATTACAAAACTGGTCACCTTACACAACCAAGACATTTTGCACCTGACTTGAAACCTTTCCATAGGAAATACAAACATCTCATAAATAGATAAAAATGTTATTTCAAGTGTGTGTATTGTCACTAAAATACTTTCATTTCAAGCCTATATGTGCTAAAATTATGGAACTGTGTGGGTGAGAGTATAGGGATTTAATATTTTATCAAAGTTTTAAAGTAAATTTTTGGTAACAGTGGAGCTTTGCTGATGATATAGAATCTCTCTACAAGATATGAATCTGTTTCAACACCAGATCATGGGACTTGTCAGAAGAATAAACGGCTAAGAGAAAAAATAACATTAGGCAGCTATAGACATAGATACAAGAATTGGAGTAGGTTTGGTATCTGGAAGAAGAAACAACTTCAGAATAATTAATGTTTAATGTTAAAACCACTGATTTCAGTTGAATTAATAACAACTTTTGGTCAAATTAGATCCAACTAATCATTAGAAATACCCAGGAATATTTGGCAATTATTGTGAACTCAGCAGATCTGTCAGCTGGACTGAAGGGAGATGCAGTGAAGATGAAAAGAAACTTGGGCAGGCAGAAGGTTGGAGAGAAATCACCACCACAGAGCTTTGATGGCAGCCGAGGGTGGTAGTAAAAAATAGTATTATTGAGGACACATAAAGATAGACTGAAGAACATTTCATGCTATTTGTTGCCTGAAAATAATAAGTGTCCATGTGCTGTCTAAATTTGCTATTCAAGTTTTACTACTTTATTGGTTTGAACGAAGCAAAACTGGAGACAATATTTTAAGTGACTTAAATCAGTCAGGTTTAAAGAGTTTCATAAAGTGAATTCCAAACAATAAACAAAATTTTATCCATTTATGCATTTGTGACATACAGCAATGCCAGGAAGTTGAAAAATAATATTTGGTTAATTGAAATTAATTTGAAAGCCATGATTATCTTGTCAACAAGAGGCAACACAAAATACCTCTACATCAGCCTCATTCTCCTTTCAGTCTTTAAAGGACTAACAGCTGAAAAGCCATGGAGAACTGGCTGGTTTGGTACCTTTGCAGTGATTCCATATTGAGATTTCCCAATGGAGCAGAGGCAGAAATGTTGATTCTGCCTATTGTTATATTTGCTTAACACATTAACAGAGGAATTTGTTTTCTGGGGCAGTCAGTGAGGCATTGTTCTTTTTCCAATTGAGATTAATTAGATCAGTGGGAATTCAGAATGAGCAGAAACTGCATGATCAGGGACAAAATCCACTGCTTGCTTATTCTGTATTAGGGTTGTTCCATTCCAAATGCAGCCTGTCCAAATGACCAGTGCTTTCCAATACTTCTTTGGGAATCTATTACACAACATAATCAATGTGATTACCAGGAAATTTCCCTCAAAAATTAGTTCAGCCCAAATTAGCAATAAACTGTTTTAAAAGTTTCCATTTTGAGCAATGCTGATTTGAAGCATACCAGGCAGTGCAAATAACTTCCTTTGAAATCAGGTTTTTCACTAGCATTACTGTGCCATTGAAAAAGTTGTCAATTCAAGTTTAACAAATACAATAAAGAATAAACTGGAAATAAAAAGACTTGAGCCAAAGTTGGATGATGTCTAAATGTTGAATACTGGCATGCTGGTACTTGGTGTGCAGGAGCTCCATCTGCCTTCCCACTTTTGTACTGCTGCAGAAAGCCAGACTTAAAACATTTATGGAATCAAAGTTAGCAGTACTGTGATGAGTCACTGTAACTTTATTCCACTTCAATAAGAGAGCTTTGTCCTTAAACCAAAATTACTAACTGAAAGTTACAAACCACTTCCCAAGAAGAACAAGGACTTTTCTGAAGAATGGATTCTTTCTCCATTAGTAAAGACCAAACATTTTACAGAGTTTCTTTCTTTCTGGTACAAGAGACAAATCAACAAATTATGCATGATGCAAAATAAACCTCCTGTGGAAAGAACAGATTCAAAATTCTTGACATTTATACCAACTGAATCTTGTATCATTATGTATATGAAATCTGGATTCTGAAAACATTTTACGTAAGATAGTAAATTGAAAACAACGGCAAGAAGAATTAAGACTTGAAATTCTACAAGAAAGAGAAATGGAAATGTTCTGTTAGCTTCTTCAAGTCTTCACAGAACCTGATGATGACACGAGGCTCTTGGCTCCTGTTCAAAGAACAATGGAAGAAATTGAAGAAATAGAAGTTATTAGTCCTCAGATGAGGAAGAAAAACACCCTTTCGTGTCTGTAAGAGCAGAAAAATGAAATTGCATATTCAACTGCATAAGAGCTTTCAAAATTCCAGGCAATGTTCATTTTCTAGGGATAAGCAGAAGACAGTAGGACAGCACAAACCATTCAGCCCCTGTGCTGGAACTCTGCCTCATGTAAAGGAGAGCTCTGCCATTTTCCTAGACCGCTCCAAATGTCCCAAGCATGTGTTAAGCAGATCCTCCTCCAGTCTGAGCATAGAAAAGATGTTTGCTGGCTGTGAGAGCTGGCAGATGCACCAGGCTGGGTCACTACTGCTTCACACACTTGTGTTAACACTTGTACACACCAGAACCTAAAGAAAGATGAAACTCCATCTGCTGATCACTGGATTGATCTGTGCCTAGAAGATTCCTCCAGCCCACAGGACCTCTCTGCACCAAGCATAGCTGCATGAGCTTAGTGTTTACTGACAGATTTTTGCCTCACTATAATTCTCAGAACACGGTGATGTCCAAGAATGCCAATTTTGTACTGCTACTTGACACACTGAAGAGCAGAGAATAAAAATACTTGGTAATTACCTGACCTTAAAGGAGAATCTCTCTTGCTGTCATGCATCAATCACACTGAATTTTCCTACTGCTAAAAACTGACCTTTAATTGCGAAGTGGGTATTTTTAACATATTCCAAATTTACAAAGTCTAATTTAATGCACATGATTCAATGTAAGTGGTATCCACAGCACTGGGTGGAAAAGACTCATGCAGAATTATTAGGGAGGTGGAACCTCACAGTGTTCAGGACTCTAAACCAGAAATTCACTGAGACACTTTGGATCTTGTATGTCTGTGACATTGAGAGCTAAGAAGTTTGTCATAAAAACCTCAAAAAAAATTTCTTCATGTTTCACTTGGCAAAACAAAAGAAAATGTTTGCATAAAGTTTTACTATGCAAAAGTATTTCTAATTGCATCTCCCCAAAGTTGTCAGTCTCAATTAGTTGCCTTGTGTAATAAATGTGGTATATCATCATCTCTTTTTATTCACACTATCTTCATCTGACTTGTGTGATTTCAGCACACACAAGGGATCACCAGTGAAGCTGTGTCCATTTGCTCCAGTGACTGGATTTATTCTAGTAAACCACCAGATGGTGGTGGATCTTCAAGCCACTGACAACTGCAAACTACTTGAATAGGTCTACTTTAAACTGGCATTTCAAAGCAAATTTCACTAGTTTCTTTATGTAGGCACAGATAAGATCAACCATCCTTCTTAGCACAGTGGAAAAGTCAAGCTCCCCATGCTCTCAGAAGCACAAAAATAACAATTAAATTAGGGTAAAGAAACAGTACAATTTACTTAGCAGAGAGATTGCACTAGTCTGACATGTTAGATGAGAATGACTTGGCAACCATGAGGCAAATGCTCTCCTCACCAGAAGATCAGATTCCAGTATCCCTGCTCTACTTATCATTTTTAGCCTTGTGACTCCATGAGCAAGACTGGACACCTGTGCTGGGCAGGATCAGAGCTTCGGGATCAGCTTTCAGGTCTGAGAGCATCACTTTTCAGAGATCACCATGGCATTGGCTGAGGGGGAAAAAACAGAGAATGAATGAGTGTGATGATTCAGGCTACACAAAACAACAAAGAGAGAATTCTGAGTGACCTTTCAGGGGGAAAGACACAAGAAAAAGTGAAGTGTGTTGGTATGAGCAGAAAAGAACAGAAAAAAATTTGTTCTCAACAATATCAGAGTGCAGTAGTCTTATCTCCTACCTGTTACTCTCTCAAAAAATCTCCAACCAAAAAACCCCAAACCATTACAACATATGTGTAAATAAACGCATTTAGTATCCTGGCTCTGTTAAGAGAAGGTCTCCTAGGAAAAAATCTTGATCTTTCCTTTTCTATTTCAGTAGAAGAAGACAGAAACACAGTTTCTGTCCTGATCAATGACTCAGTATCCTGGAGAAGTACATTTGGTTTGACACATTGAATTCTCTCTGAGGAACGTGTTGCTAGAAGTCCTCATATTCAGCTTCTTCTTTGGTCTGAAACAAGCTAAACTTTTAATTTCACAGATATTTGTAGAGCGAGACCAAAGTGACATTAAGAAGTGTGATGTATTTGCTGTTTTTAAAACCATGGCTGTCTACAAGCAGGCCGCTTTGTAACATCAGCTGGAAAAAACAGACAAGCGCTATCAACCACAGTAAGAAATCATGTGTACGGAATGATATGATAAATATGGAGGATGGTGAATTTTGAAAGGTAAATTATTTCAACAAAACCCAATCTATTATTTTTTTTGAAAAAAACAACTCCAAAAAGACTGCAATTGCAAAGTAAGATGGAGCAAGTGTAGTTGTCACAATCAATTAATGCCTTTCAAGTGCAGGAAAATGACAAATGAGCCATTAAGAGCTGCTATTCTTTATTTAGAACTGAAAAAGAGAGAAATGAGTCTGCAAGGGAAAAGATCTTAAGCTTTTCTGCATGTTGATTTATTTCAAGTGAAAGTTTTGTGAATATATGGAAGAAATATCTTCTGCAAGGTGCTCATCTTGGTAACATTGCAGACCTGCTGCGTGAATCTTGTTACGATCAGTTTATGTTAATTAGTCTGGAAACTAGAAAGAGGATTTCTGCTGCTAAGATCTCTTTTTTTAGCCAGCTGTAGAGGTGATCTTCAACAAAAAGCAATACCCGGTGATGTTAAATACCCTGAGGATGCGGGAATTTGCTGTCAGCAGAGAACTGACAAGACACAAACAAGCCTTTATGTGTCATCCTAGTGTGTGTGGATAAAATCCAAACATTTCCACAGGGCAACTATCACGGGTAAAAACGGTGGTGATGGGCAGGTTGTGAGTGCAGGCAGGACCCTCTGAGCGCCTCCTCTCTGTGTTAACACAGAAATAAAAGGCAGCGGCAGCTCACCACAGGTAGCGGGTGGTCCTTGACCACAGCTTTTATCAGCAAATGATGTTCTCCTTTATCAGCGGTGAAGCAGGGATGACTTGTTAGCACCGGGCGCTGTGTGAACACGCGGGGAGGAAAGTGGAGCCCCAATATTCGCTCCTGTAACCGCACCGGGAGGGACCGGGAACAGAGAGTGGGACACCGGGAACACCCGAAACACCGGCAGAGACCGAGACACCGGGATCACCCGGACACCGGCAGACAGCTGGACACCGGGAACACCGGGATCACCCGGAACACCGGCAGGGACACCGGGATCACCCGGAACACCGGCAGAGACACCGGGATCATCCGGACACCGGCAGAGACACCGGGATCACCCGCACACCGCGACCGCCCGCGACCCCTCAGCCCACAGCGAGGGGCGGGCGCGGCGCTGAGGGGAGGCACGCTCCCATTGGCTGGCGGAGGGAGGCGGGAGAGACGGGGCGTTGTGATTGGCTGCTGCCCGCGGCGGTGTCTCGCGAGAGCCGCGCGGCCGCCGCGGTCTCGCGCGGCCCGTCCCGCCCCCGGTCCCTGGGCCGGCGGCGGCGCCGCTCCCGCTGCGGCGGCCCCGGTGAGTGGCGGTGTCCCGGCCGGACTGAGGGGGTGAGGGGTCAGGGCCAAGGTGATCGGGTCCTGGCGGTGGGAGGTTGTGTACGGTGTTTTGCCCCTGCTGTCTGCTCGCCGGACCGCGCGGGCACGGCGCCTCTCCGTGAGGGGGTGCGCGCTGTGGCCGGGCCCCATCCTCCGTGCCTGTCCCGTTCCCCCCTTGTCTCCCCGTTTCTCCTTCTCTTCTCCGTGTCCCCCTTGTCCGGTGCCTCTCTTTCCCCCTTCTTTCCCTATTCCCATCTCTCTTTCCCCTCATTCACCCCCTCTCCCCCGTGCCCCTTCCCCTCCCTCCTCGCCCTTCCGTGAAGGACCCGGCCCCTCACAGGCCCGCGGTCACTGCTCTCATCCCTCGTCCTTCTTTTTTACTGTTCTTAAAGAGCATGGTTGTGGCTGTTCCTCTTCGGGCAGGCTGCACCTCATCCTTGGAAAAAGATAATTGAGAAAGAAAAAGTTTGGCTGGTGGTGGAAGTGGAGGAGGTTCCTCTGAAGTAAGAGCCAAAGTAGATTGTGACTGGACTTTGCATCTGTGGCGTTGCGTGTCCGTGTGTCCGTGTGTGCTGTGGCTAAATGTGCAGTTGTTACATGGAGTCACAACTCTGTAAAGAGAAGCCCACAAGTGCAGGACACCTGAAAACCATCTCTGGACAAATGGGAAGGCTGTTGGATATTTATGTGAATGTTTTGTCATTTCTCAGCTTCTGATGTAAAAAAAAAAAATCAGAGAAAGATAAGCTTTCCTTTACCTTGTCTTATATTGTAGAGGGTAATAATAAATACTCAGACTGTTAAATTCTGAGTCTATTAAGGCGATTAAAGATTTTAACACTTTTCCAGGAATTATTTTAATGCTGATCACAGAAGTAGAGTTGGGAATTGTAATGGCTTCATTTCCTTGCTCTTCTGGACTAAGAGAGCTTTAATGTTAGGAGTGCCAAGGGCCGGTGTCAGTGCCCTGTTCCCTAAAACAGCTGATGGAGGAAATGGTTAAAAACATCTTAAAAACCTCACAAATGTGTGTTGCTCCAGAAGGACACAGATCACTGCTAAGAGCTGTTATCTGCAAATCAAGGGGACTACTCAAACTTACGAAGTAGTTTGATTTACATGTGTGGTTGGGTTGTCACTCTTCAGCTGGAGTTTTGTGTACCAAGCCTATCATCAGATGGGATTTATGATTCAGGACCTTCACTTCCAATATTTGTTACGATTAGAAACCTCCTTCAGTGAAGGAGTGAACTAAAATAGAAAATATTATTGGTGGAAAGCAGTTTTGAGTCCTTGCCTTTCATTAATGAGAATTAATTTATACACAGAAGTCTGTAGCAAAATGGTAACTTTAAATTAATGAATAGTCTGGGTTTATTATGTTTTTTATGAGATAGTTGAAAAGATGCAGCATTGCTGCTGTTGTTTGCATCTAGACAGGATAATAATGACTTGAATTTTGGTTATATCTGAAAAACAAGTTGAATAAAGCCAGGTTTCAGATATGTGTTAATTTTTAATTTGTCTTCCTGCATTTGTTTTCTGGTTTTGAAATTGTCAGTTAAAGCTTGACACTTTGTTCTCTCTGGTTTTATTTTTAGTAGAGCAAGCTGAAAATCTGCTCTCTTATCTAACCCTTTATAAATTTTCTCACTGCAAGTTTCAGATTTCTCATATATTAGTGTATTATTTTTAAATGGCTTTACTGGCTATCTATCCCAATTACCTCTTCCAACTGGTAAATTATTCCACCAGTTTTATATGGGAAAGCACTTCAAACTTTCATTGCTTTTTGTCTTACTGCCTTAAAAGATAATGGTGGTTTTTAATAATCTGAGACTAAAATCCTGTATTAATTGTATGCTTTTCTTATCTGTGGGTTCTTTTAGCACATGTGACAGGATAGATGTGGGACATCAGTAATGGTCAATGAAGTTGCTTTTTTTTTTTTTTTAATTCTTATGGTGGCAATTTTGACAAAATAATCTGAAAGGTCCATCAAACATGTATGAAGCTAAAAGCATTAAATATACCCAAAGATTTCAGAGTTATTTCAGGTCTTATAATGCACTAAAGTTTAATCTAGAAATAATCAAAGGCTTGCTTCTTACATAGCTTATGGTGTGGATGTTCTGGGGACTTTGTCTATTAACTGGAACAGGTGTGCTTAGATAAATTATCACGTAATCTGTAATCAGGAACTCTTCCTGCAAAAGAAGCATGGCTACACCCTGGTAATACTGGGCTTTTTTCCTCTTTTTGTCTCCTAGAAATGGGTCTGCTCTCAGAAGATGCGATGCAGTAGATGTGGTGCTTAGTCATGGCATCAGAACTGTGTAAAACAATCTCTGAGGCAAAGCTGGAAAGGCACAAGAATTTGTTCTTAAATTACCGAAATCTCCATCACTTCCCTCTGGAGTTACTGAAAGATGAGGGGCTGCAGTACTTGGAGAGACTTTACATGAAAAGAAATTCCCTGACCACATTGGTACGACAGTCTCTTTATTGCAGTGGTAATGTCTGTGTGTTTAGCAATTGTGTTTTTGGAACAGAAAAACAAAAGATTATATTATAGAGAATCTGACCTGAATGATGTCATCAGCTATAAGATATGAGTATTTGAACTTGCATAGGTAATGTAGAGAATAATAAATGGAATTCAAGACATTTTATGGTTACCCTTTTCAAGCTCTCAGGACCTTCCGGGGCTTTTCTTGTCAGGCTTGTTCTGTTGGGGTTTTTTCTAACCTCTACATTTTACTCCCATAAGTGGTCAGTTTCTCCTGTTAGGTGATGCTGTGCAGTCTATTCTACATTGCTTCATTAGGCTGAATTACTTTTTCCCTTGGTGTGTGCCTTATTTCAAAGGCAATGTCAATCCCAGGGTCTAATTCCAGCCCTGCTGTTAAGGTGCCGGTAAAAACTTGTGTCTATGGGCTGCTGTTAATAGGAGAACACAGTTACATGTCACAGTTAATGTGGGATTTCTTCTTATTTTGTTGTTCTTCTCTGAACTGATACAATTCTCACCCTGAGTCAATGTTGTGACCTCAAAATTCAGCGTGGGGCAGTTAAATAACTGTGAGAGATGTTCTGAGTTGGTAAGACTCTATAGGATAGAGTCAGAACTTGCCACTGTCAATAGACTCGATTCTCCCAAGTTTTCATTTTTGGTTGCTTGATTGGTTTCGATTTGTTGGTTGGGTTTTTTTTTTTTTTTGGTGGCCTCTTCCAAGGAATGAGAGGTAAAATAGTAGCAATAGTAGAGGAGCCGTAGGGCATGACAACTTAAAATTCACCAAAATTGTACAGTTTTCAAGGTTTCCTAGAACGAGTCCAGTACTACTCCACTTTAAGGGCCAAAAGCTGAAAGGATTCTGAAGATTTTATGCCTTTTCTTCATCTTGAATGAGTCACTTAAGTTGACATCTATGGTAGAGAATTATTTTAGCACTCTAGTTTTGGGCAGTAATTTAATAATGTGTAATAATTTAACAGAAGGATAGGATTCATGGTTACAAATCAAAATTGCTACAAAATTAGCCAAAGGCTGTAAACAGCTCTGCCTTGACTCTTTGTGAAATTCAGTGATGATTTAGTGCAGTAAGGTTCACCAAGTTTGCACTGCTCAAAAGATGAAACAATAAAAGGAGGGTTTTGTGTGTAAAGTGTTAAGACCTGGATAAAGAAACTGAAACAAAAGTTAAAATGTAGGTCATACTTAGGCAAAATTGCTTTCAAACAGCGTGAAGCAGAGCTTGATTAGAGTCACAGCAATCAGGATAACTTGCTCATAATGTGCCTTGTTGGGCTCTCATTCAAGTGCTCAGCACTATTGTTGGAACAAGGCAAACAAATTTGGGTGTCATTCACTGAGCATCTGTTCCACAGAAGAGATGTTGGAAGTTGTAGTGGACCAAAATAGATCAAGTCAGCAGCATGTTACAAAAAAAGGCAGATGTCTTTTTGGAACGTGGAAAGTTTCACAATCTCAATTAAAAGCAGAAGGAAGTAATTATTGATACTGTTAAAGCACAAGCTGGAGCAGAGAGTTTCATACTCGTGAACAGCCTGGGTGAACTGGAGAGAACCTAGAGAGCAACAGCAAGGGACCTTCAGAGATCATGCCCTGAGAGAAAGGTTAAAGATTGATGGAGAGGAAAAAACAGGAGGAACTGGGGGAAACAGAAATCACAGCTATTTTTACAGAGCAGAATTTTATAATGAGGTTTTTCGATGTCCACTACTGGTAGCCCCTCAATTTTAGTAAAGTCATATTAAGTCAGGTACACTGGGGCAGTGGGAGGAGTGGAAATCTCATCTGAGAATTCCTGAAAACAAATTATTGAAGGAAGATGTGTCTTCCTTGTACTTCTCTAATGCAAGGTGATGAGCAGTAGCACATCAATAAACATTTCAAATTGCATGAATGTTACTTAAAACCATCAAAATGGAACCTGAGCCATATTTCTCTAAAATTAGGTGGTACTTTTGTCCCACCGGTTCATTCCTTCAGAATTCTGAAAATAAATTACTAAATCAGCTTTTGTTCTTTACTCTTCTCAAATGACTCTTGTCCTTGACAGATGATTCCTATGAAATGTCTGGGATAGTTATGC